ACCCCCAACTCTTGGGCTACTCTTTTACCAACGAATAGTGGGATTGACCGTCACATTATAACGCCCGAGCATGTTTGGTGGGATGCGGATTCGAACCCGCGACCCTCAGATTGTGAGTCGAGCGCCTTATCCACCTGGCCATGCCGGGCCGCGTGTAGTAGTTAATATACCAATCAAATGATAGATGTGTCTATTTCAAATACGTCTTTCTGTAGTAGACTTGCATGCAAGACATTTATTGACTTCTAATGTCTAGTTTTTTCACCTAAACATTATTCACAACTGGTCAAACCTTTTTTGTTTTTTTAATAGCACTAATTTTTCACCCCCTCACAACTATCATCAAGGAAAAAAATCACAAATACTTTTCAGGTTTGAACTTATAAAATGATTGAATTGAAACGTAAAGAAACAGGATTAATTTTATCTATGCTTTGGACAAATGGAATGCTTTTAAAAATGTTATGGCTGTAAATAAGTTCTTACTTCATAATTTAACGAGAGTAATCAAACTAAAATATTAACTTACGATTTGATAATAAACAGTATTTAAGAAATTCATCTGTTTTGTTTTTTTTCACTTAATATTTCTACTTACGATACTCTAAAAAAAAATGAGGTTCCAACATTGTTATTTACACATTTTTATAAATCGCCTATTCCGAACATTAACAAAATGTCATTCTGATCTCAAATAGTGGAATTAATTTCCATTTTATTCGATAAAATAATGTTTGAACTCCATGCTATCACGAATATTCAGAATATACGAGAATTTAATAAAACTTACAATCTGTCGCATCTGTTCTAATTCTGCCGCCAATCACAATCTCACTGCTTTGTGAGTAATATTCTTGAGACACTGTAGCTGTACAGCGTAGAGACATTACTCCACGTTTCAGATGGTTATAGGTCACAATGAATTTAAGACCTAACACAGTGCTCTCTAATCCCTCTAGGTGGCGCTGGGCTCGATACGTTGTAAGAAAAGTCGTGTCAGCCTGTTTAGAAAGTCAAAAGGGAAATTTCATACAGTAATTATGTAATATTAAGGCAGCTTATTTAACTTTAGTTTTATGTTTATCAGGCTGCCTTAATATTACATAATTACTGTATGAAATTTCCCTTTTGTTTGTTGAAATATTTAACTTTAGTTTTATGTTCATCAGTTTAACAAACAAAAGGGGAATTTCATACAGTAATTATGTAATATTAAGGCAGCTTATTTAACTTTAGTTTTATGTTCATCAAACGATAGGGAAATTTCTTATATGAACCTTTTACAAGAGCAACGTGAAAACAACGAACGTAAATATCATGAAAACATGTGATGTCATAAATAGAAATATAAATTCGCAAAAATTTCCGCTTTTTATTACATCTAAAAAATAATTTTTAACATAACATACGAAATTTCTTGTTCAATTAACATAACCTTATAAATCGGTTGATTCTAATGGTAAACGCAATACGGAAAACTTCTGCGAGAGAGGCAGGGATAATGTTACAGAGTTACAAAATACACCAAAAGTTAGGGAATATCAGCGAAAAACATTTAATTAAAGTCGAAATTTTACCTAATAATAAACACTTGTAAAGTAAATTATAGTCGTCGACATGTTTAAAAAAACAGAAGACAAAAACAATATAGCAAGTAACTCTGGGAAATAAATAAAGCATACTGATAAAAGGCGAACAAAAAATAATAATCTGTTCTATTAAAATATATATATATAAAGATTTCAGTACATTATATTAGAGGTTTTATAGCCCCACCATAGCGTTACAGTCAATGTTGCTACGTCCAGTCATGTTCTATCTGACGACCGTGCATCATAATAATAGCCTTACAGTATAGCTTATATTTCCAAAGACTTGTCACCGAACATGCTCGCCCTTTAAGCAGTGAGAGGCGTTATCATGTGAGAGGCAATCCCATTATTCGTTGGCGAAGAATAGCCCAAGAGTTGCGGTGGGTGATGTAGACTAAATGCCTTTCCACTAGTCTCTCACTTCAAAATTAGGGGCGGCTAGCGCTGATAGTTTTCGAGTAGTCTTGCGTGAAATTAGACAAAAAAAAAACTGTTGCGAAAGGCTCCATAATAAGGTTGTTATGTTCAAAGCGCAATACACTTCGCCTCATGGTCTCCATAATCCATCTGGTATACGTAGAGGACGATTTTCTAGCTCCAGTTTCAACACTCCGATCACACAGAAGACCATAACTGTTCTTTCAGCGACTCTGCCAATATGTCTACATATGGAATAATATGAATACCGTTTCATTCTCCAGCTACTTGAGATATGGGACAGTTGCATGGAAAGTATAACTAAAAAGATTGATCTTAGTGAATCCATACCCTCTTGACCTCGTTTCCAAACATAGATCTTTCTTGATTATATAGATTTCTGTAGCTTGGGACACTTAGACAGCTTTTGCCACTGACGCTTATGTTCAGGGATTCTTACATGTTACAAAATACCGCACTGTACTTGCAACGTTTGGGGCACGACTTGTTGCAGGTCACTTTTGGATTGTTCTAATTCCCAAAATTGAGCCAGATTGATTTTATTTCCAATACCATTAGGCATAAGGGATACCTCCGCCTTCGAAAATCGAAATCTCCGAGCTGAACAAATCTTTTAACATGAATATTTTGCATCGAAACGGACTGGTACATACATCTCTCAAAATCGATCAATTTTCGGTAGCGTCACTCTACCCACGAAACAGCAACAAAAAAAATGTCAAAGTGTGGCTGTGGTACAATCCATTCTGCCGCTAACTTTATATTAGCAGCGGTGGTCATGTGACTTGCTGATTTGCGTAATGAAAATCAACCCTGTGCAATGCTATTCGTCAACATGATATTTATTTATATCATAAGCATGTATTATTTACGTATATTATAAATGAAGGTAAATGACGCTTATGGAGAAAAGAAAACTGAACGTAAAGCTAGTCTATCAAAGTACAAAACATTGTTTGTTTGTTGTTTGCAGTAATGAAAAGCGAACCACAGAAGAGGTGAAAATAAATCGGTTCACGGTGAAAAAGGTCACTCTTCTAAAACCGTTCATTATCTTTGGGGGCATAAAAAAAAGGAATCGTTTCACCCTAAAAAAAAAAGATCTGTATTCTAAAAGCGCTCATCATCTTCTTCTTGTGTGAAAGAGAAATCGGCTCACCGTGACAAAGCACGATCAATCTTTCAGTGGCTCAGCGGTAAGTCTGAAGGCGTATAACAATAAAGAACTAGTTTCGATACCCGTAGATAGCACAGATAGTCCTGTAGTTTCGCTTAATAATAACACGATCGGAGTACCGGATTTACTTAATTGTCAAGAATAAAAATAAGTACTCAACTGGGCCCGACATGGCCAGGTGGTTAGGGAGCTCAACTCGCATTCTGCGGGACGCGGGTTCGAATCACCGTCCCACCAAACATGCTCGCCCCTTTCATCCGTGGGAGCGTTATTATGTGACGGTCAATACTACTATTCATTGGTAAAAGAGTAGCCCAAGATTTGGCGGTGGGTGGTGATGACTAGCTGCCTTCCCTCTAGTCTTGCACTGCTAAATTAGGGGCGGCTAGCGCAGCTAGCCCTCGTGTAGCTTTGCGCGAAAATTCAAAACAAACAAACAAACAAGTACCCAACTGTAGAATCATCTCTAACATCTATTTCTACGACTAATTGAGAAAAATGCCTTAAATATTCTTGAAACAGAAAATGTGATAAGTCATTTCTAAAGGAAAACAGGTACGGTATATAAGCATACAGAACTTGACCTTATATATATATATACAGAACTTGACCTTATATATATATACACAGAACTTGACCTTATATATATATATACAGAACTTGACCTTATATATATACACAGAACTTGACCTTATATATATATATACAGAACTTGACCTTATATATATATACAGAACTTGACCTCATATATATATCTATATACAGAACTTGACCTCATATATATATATATATACAGAACTTGACCTTATATATATATATACAGTACTGTACCTTATATATATATATATATATATATATACTACGTACTACTATATATATATATATATATATATATATATAGTAACTTAGACCTCATATATATATATATATATATATATATACAGAACTTGACCTTATATATGGGTACTTAAGATACAACTGTAACAATGTTCACCATGGGAACTTAAGATACAACAGTAACAATGTTCACCATGGGTTCTTAAGATACAACTGTAACAATGTTCACCACGAATACTTAAGATACAACTGTAACAATGTTCAGATAATCTTAATGGACGCTGACTTGGTTTTTTTTTTAAAACTCATGCTGGTTCATTCTATATCTTAAATTTTCAGTTTGGCCATACTGTACATTTTAACATATAGGTCAAGTTCTTAGAATTGCAAGAAAAAAGATAATTTCATTTAAAAAGGATGGTTTTATCTATGTTTTTAATAATATTGGCATTAATAATACAATCTAGAGTTGACATCTTAGGTTGTTACACTAAGTGATACCTTCTTGTCTATTTCAGTTTTAAATTTATGATAAAATAAACGATTCAAAATTTTTTGGCTGTCTATAAGCTACAATAATATTGGCATTACTTGCGGCTACAGATGTACAAGAATTTATTTAATAATATATATAATTTATAAGATTACGCTGTTTATGGATTTGAAAGAACATAAAATTCATTTATATTTTTGTTCGTATATTATTAACGGGATGTATTTATTCTATTCTCATTCTGATTTCGTTAACAACTATTATGGTTTGTATTTAATTAGGTTGGTTGAAAAGCAGTATAAGCTGCGGAAGCGTTTCCAGTGAACTGAACATATTAAAAAATATAGTATTTCTCGAGAGGATCACTCCACATATTTACATTTATATATGTTTTATATTTGAGATATATATATATATATATATATGTTTCTTTGTAATTAAGCACAAAGCTACACAATGGGCTCTGCCCACCACGGGTATCGAAACCCGGATTTTAGCGTTGTAAGTTCGGAGACATACCGAGGGTTATCTGCGCTAGCCGTCCCTAATTTAGTAGTGTAAGACTAGAGGGAAGGCAGCTAGTCA